GGCGCCCTGAAGCGGAGCTAAACGGAAATCGCCATGTTTGGTGGCAGATTTTGGATGTGGAATGCCGCATTGCTGCTGGCTCCTGGAACGGCAGATGACGAGCTTGTGCTGGCTGCAGCGTGCCTGCCATGACCATGCACACGTCAGCACGAACAAGGACAAGCAGAAATCGGAACAAACGGAGCTAAGAAGAGGGAATCTACGAAGAAAACGAAATTACTGGAAACAAGACTGAAGATAGCGTGAGTAAGAAAGCGGGCTTACGAAATACTAATGCCATGGCCCATGGCGGATGGCGATCCAAAAGAGAGGCTGCGCTCTTGAGTAGAATGGCTTGAGATTGAAACGAGATCTGGAAAAAAAAAAAATAGCAAACGAAATCACGAAAAACGAAACTACGATAGCGTGACTGCGACTAAGAAAGCAGGCTTACGAAATGGTGATGCCATGCCCCATGGCGGAGGGCGATCTAGAAGAGAGGCTCGGATGTTGAGTTGAGATAGAGTGGCGGATGATAAGAATCGAGGTCTGAAAAACGGGAGTGGGAGTTAGGTGAGCGATTGTGAGCCCAGCCCACTCACATCACGTTTCATGCACTTTCTGGCTTGCTTGGTCCCCCTGAACGAACGTGGGTTCGTGGTGCAAAGTGGATGTACTGAAGTAGCGTTCTGCACAGTGCTACGCGCAGTGACAAATGACTCAAAACAAAGAGGAGAGAGGAGAGGATTGGTCAAATGGCTCAAAACCGAGGGGAGAGAAGATGGGATTGGTCAAATGACTCAAAACAGAGGGGAGAGAGGACGGGATTAGTCAAATGATTCAAAACAGAGGGGAGAGAGGAGGGGATTGGTCAAATGACTCAAAACAAATATGAGAGAGGAGGGATTGTTCAAATGACTCAAAACAGAGGAGAGAGGAGAGGATTGGTCAAAGGACTCAAAACAGAGGGGAGAGAGTAGGGGATTGGTCAAATGACTCAAAACAGGGGGAAAAGAGGAGGGGATTGGTCAAATGACTCAAAACAAAGAGGAGAGAGGAGGGGATTGGTCAAATGACTCAAAACAGAGGGGAGAGAGGAGGGGATTGGTCAAATGGCTCAAAACAAAGAGGAGAGAGAGGGGATTGGTCAAATGACTCAAAACAAAGGGGAGAGAGGAGGGGATTGGTGAAATGACTCAAAACAAAGAGGAGAGAGGAGGGGATTGGTCAAATGGCTCAAAACAGAGGAGAGAGAAGAGGGGATTGGTCAAATGACTCAAAACAGAGGGGAGAGAGGAGGGGACTGGTCAAATGATTCAAAACAGAGGGGAGAGAGGAGGGGATTGGTCAAATGACTCAAAACAAAGAGGAGAGAGGAGGGGATTGGTCAAATTACTCAAAACAAAGAGAAGAGAGGAGGGGATTGGTCAAATTACTCAAAACTGAGGGGAGAGAGGAGGGGATTGGTCAAATGAGTCAAATCAAAGAGGAGAGAGGAGGGGATAGGTGAAATGACTCAAAACAAAGAGAGAGGAGGGGATTGGTCAAATGACTCAAAACATATAGGAGAGAGGAGGGGATTCGTCAAATGACTCAAAACAAAGAGGAGAGAGGAGGGGATTGGTCAAATGGCTCAAACTGAGGGGAGAGAAAAGGGGATTGGTCAAATGACTCAAAACAGAGGGGAGAGAGGAGGGGATTAGTCAAATGATTCAAAACAGAGGGGAGAGAGGAGGGGATTTGTCAAATGACTCAAAACAAATATGACAGAGGAGGGGATTGGTCAAATGACTCAAAACAAAGAGGAGAGAGGAGGGGATTGGTCAAATGACTCAAAACAGAGAGGAGAGAGGAGGGGATTGGTGAAATGACTCAAAACTGAGGGGAGAGAGGAGGGGATTGGTCAAATGACTCAAAACAAAGAGGAGAGAGAGGAGGGGATTGGTGAAATGACTCGAAACAAAGAGGAGAGAGGATGGAATTGGTTAAATGACTCAAAACGAATAGGAGAGATGAGGGGATTGGTCAAATGACTCAAAACAGAGGGGAGAGAGTAGGGGATTGGTAAAATGACTCAAAACAGGGGGAAGAGAGAAGGGGATTGGTCAAATGACTCAAAACAAAGAGGAGAGAAGAGGGGATTGGTCAAATTACTCAAAACAGAGGGGAGAGAGTAGGGGATTGGTCAAATGACTCAAAACAGGGGGAAGAGAGGAGGGGATTGGTCAAATGTCTCAAAACAAAGAGGAGAGAGGAGGGGATTGGTCAAATGACTCAAAACAGAGGGGAGAGAGGAGGGGATTGGTCAAATGACTCAAAACAAAGAGGAGAGAGGAAGGTATTGGTCAAATTACTCAAAACAAAGGGGAGAGGGGAGGGGATTGGTCAAATGGCTCAAAACAGAGGGGAGAGAAGAGGGGATAGGTCAAATGACTCAGAACAGAGGGGAGATAGGAGGGGATTGGTCAAATGATTCAAAAAAGAGGGGAGAGACGAGGGGATTGGTCAAATGGCTCAAAACAAAGAGGAGAGAGGAGGGGATTGGTGAAAAGACTCAAAACTGAGGGGAGAGAGGAGGGGATTGGTCAAATGAGTCGAAACAAAGAGGAGAGAGGAGGGGATAGGTGAAATGACTCAAAACAGAGAGAGAGGAGGGGATTGGTCAAATGACTCAAAACAAATAGGAGAGAGGAGGGGATTGGACAAATGACTCCAAACAAATAGGAGAGAGGAGGGGATTGGTCAAATGACTCAAAACAGAGAGGAGAGAGGAGGGGATTGGTGAAGTGACTCAAAACTGAGGGGAGAGAGGAGGGGATTGGTCAAATGACTCAAAACAAAGAGGAAAGAGAGGAGGGGATTGGTGAAATGACTCGAAACAAAGAGGAGAGAGGAGGGAATTGGTTAAATGACTCAAAACGAATAGGAGAGATGAGGGGATTGGTCAAATGACTCAAAACAGAGGGGAGAGAGTAGGGGATTGGTCAAATGACTCAAAACAGGGGGAAGAGAGGAGGGGATTGGTCAAATGACTCAAAACAAAAAGGAGAGAGGAGGGGATTGGTCAAATGACTCAAAACAGAGGGGAGAGAGGAGGGGATTGGTCAAATGACTCAAAACAAAGAGGAGAGAGGAGGGGATTGGTCAAATGACTCAAAACAAAGGGGACAGAGGAGGGGATTGGTGAAATGACTCACAACGCACCTGGGGCTGGTTTGGTGGGCCATGCGGCATGGCATGGCGCTGCGCTCCCTCCTCCTGCTTCTGTTTCTCTCCCTTGTTCTCTCTCATGTCCCGCGCATGGATGAACAGGGACGGCCACACAAGCAGCTGGCAACGCATCTGCTCCCTGTGCAAAGTATCTTCATCTTGGCGACAGGAGAAACTGGCACCTGCGCAAGGGGAGGGGAGGAGTTGGGGTGGGGGAGCAGAGCAAGTGAGCGGGGGGAGCAGGGCAAGTGAGCGGGGGGAGCACCCTAAACCCCCTTACCCCCTTACCTGGCAGGAAATGAGAAGGCACTATGCAGGGAATGCGAATGCACCTGGCAGGGCATGCCAAGGCACCATGCAGGGCATGAGAATTTACCGGGCAGGGCATGAGAAGGCACCATGCAGGGCATGGGAAGGCACCTGGCAGAAGGGGGGAAGTGGGGAAAGAGGGGAGGGGGTGGGTGAGACATGCTCAAATGGGCAAGCGCTGCACTGGTACCTGGCAGAAAGGGGAGGGGAGAGGGTGGCCTGGATGTCTCAACGTTCCCCAGAGCGCCATGAGCAGCGCCGTCGTTGTCGTTGGCGTGTCAGCGGCATGGCAATCGGCGGCGTGACAGCGGCGTGGCATCGGCGCCCCAAAGCGGAGCTAAACGGAAATCGCCATGTTTGGTGGCAGATTTTGGATGTGGAATGCCGCATTGCTGCTGGCTCCTGGAACGGCAGATGACGAGCTTGTGCTGGCTGCAGCGTGCCTGCCATGACCATGCACACGTCAGCACGAACAAGGACAAGCAGAAATCGGAACAAACGGAGCTAAGAAGAGGGAATCTACGAAGAAAACGAAATTACTGGAAACAAGACTGAAGATAGCGTGAGTAAGAAAGCGGGCTTACGAAATACTAATGCCATGGCCCATGGCGGATGGCGATCCAAAAGAGAGGCTGCGCTCTTGAGTAGAATGGCTTGAGATTGAAACGAGATCTGGAAAAAAAAAAATAGCAAACGAAATCACGAAAAACGAAACTACGATAGCGTGACTGCGACTAAGAAAGCAGGCTTACGAAATGGTGATGCCATGCCCCATGGCGGAGGGCGATCTAGAAGAGAGGCTCGGATGTTGAGTTGAGATAGAGTGGCGGATGATAAGAATCGAGGTCTGAAAAACGGGAGTGGGAGTTAGGTGAGCGATTGTGAGCCCAGCCCACTCACATCACGTTTCGTGCACCTTCTGGCTTGCTTGGTCCCCCTGAACGAACGTGGGTTCGTGGTGCAAAGTGGATGTACTGAAGTAGCGTTCTGCACAGTGCTACGTCGGCAGCGCAGTGACAAAGTCGGAAAGTCGGTTTGGGTGCCCTGCGTATATGCAGTCCGACACTCCGATACAGCGAGCGCGACCCAAAGTGAATGTGCCAGCATTTACAGTGACAAATTCGCAGCGCGAATAGGTTTCGCTCGTCAGCTGTGCCCAAAACGAGAACAGCAAAACAGTATCTTGCAAAACTACAGCTTTCCACATGGCAGTAAACAGAACAGATTTTGCTGATTTACAAGCTACACATGTAAGTTGACAAATATGTTTGTGTAATCTGGAGCTTATCAATGTAGGTCAACAAATCAATGACAAATTAGCTCTGGAATAATGAGCTGAATATTAAGGAACGTGCGCATCTGCATGCGTATATGCATGAATACTCGCATGTCTGGTACCTACCTATTTAACCTAGACGCGCGTAGACATACGTATGCATGCGTACGTATGCCTTCATGCACGTAGTGCGTCTACCTACCATACACACTCGTACACGACGCATATGTACATAACCGTACATGCACCAACGCGTACGCACTCGTACGACCGACCTTTTTTTTTGCCCGCGCAAAGAGAGCCGTTGATATCGTCTCGCCGGGGACAATCGCTCTTGCTCGACTGATCGTCAAGTGTGACCGATTTTCGCCATACAGCACCGGGGTTACGCCAACAGATTGATTGGTTGGATGCTGACCGGGACAAGCTTCACTTCCACCATTGGGCTGGGATAAAAAGAGAGAGACACGAAGGGCAGCGAGCGACATAGAGGGAGTGATGGAGGTGCAAGGAAGAGAAAGGGTGTTGAGCCTCAGTTGTTAAGGAGGTTTAGGGGGTGCAGAGATGCCCGAGAGCAGGGAGTGGTGCAGCAGAGCAGGTGAGTGGTGCAGCAGAGCAGGTGAGTGGTGCAGCAGAGCAGGTGAGTGGTGCAGCAGAGCAGGTGAGTGGTGCAGCAGAGCAGGTGAGTGGTGCAGCAGAGCAGGTGAGTGGTGCAGCAGAGCAGGTGAATGGTGCAGCAGAGCAGGTGAGTGTTGCGGCAGAGCAGGTGAGTGGTGCAGCAGAGCAGGTGAGTGGTGCAGCAGAGCAGGTGAGTGGTGCAGCAGAGCAGGTGAGTGGTGCAGCAGAGCAGGTGATTGGTGCAGCAGAGCAGTGCAGCAGAGCAGGTGAGTGGTGCAGCAGAGCAGGTGAGTGGTGCAGCAGAGCAGGTGAGTGGTGCAGCAGAGCAGGTGAGTGGTGTAGCAGAGCAGGTGAGTGGTGCGGCAGAGCAGGTGAGTGGTGCAGCAGAGCAGGTGAGTGGTGCAGCAGAGCAGGTGAGTGGTGCAGCAGAGCAGGTGAGTGGTGCAGCAGAGCAGGTGAGTGGTGCAGCAGAGCAGGTGAGTGGTGCGGCAGAGCAGGTGAGTGGTGCAGCAGAGCAGGTGAGTGGTGCAGCAGAGCAGGTGAGTGGTGCAGCAGAGCAGGTGAGTGGTGCAGCAGAGCAGGTGAGTGGTGCAGCAGAGCAGGTGAGTGGTGCAGCAGAGCAGGTGAGTGGTGTAGCAGAGCAGGTGAGTGGTGCGGCAGAGCAGGTGAGTGGTGCGGCAGAGCAGGTGAGTGGTGCAGCAGAGCAGGTGAGTGGTGCAGCAGAGCAGGTGAGTGGTGCAGCAGAGCAGGTGAGTGGTGCAGCAGAGCAGGTGAGTGGTGCAGCAGAGCAGGTGAGTGGTGCAGCAGAGCAGGTGAGTGGTGCAGCAGAGCAGGTGAGTGGTGCGGCAGAGCAGGTGAGTGGTGCAGCAGAGCAGGTGAGTGGTGCAGCAGAGCAGGTGAGTGGTGCAGCAGAGCAGGTGAGTGGTGCAGCAGAGCAGGTGAGTGGTGCGGCAGAGCAGGTGAGTGGTGCAGCAGAGCAGGTGAGTGGTGCAGCAGAGCAGGTGAGTGGTGCAGCAGAGCAGGTGAGTGGTGCAGCAGAGCAGGTGAGTTGTGCAGCAGAGCAGGTGAGTGGTGCAGCAGAGCAGGTGAGTGGTGCAGCAGAGCAGGTGATTGGTGCAGCAGAGCAGGTGGGTGGTGCAGCAGAGCAGGTGAGTGGTGCAGCAGAGCAGGTGAGTGGTGCAGCAGAGCAGGTGAGTGGTGCAGCAGAGCAGGTGAGTGGTGTAGCAGAGCAGGTGAGTGGTGCGGCAGAGCAGGTGAGTGGTGCAGCAGAGCAGGTGAGTGGTGCAGCAGAGCAGGTGAGTGGTGCAGCAGAGCAGGTGAGTGGTGCAGCAGAGCAGGTGAGTGGTGCAGCAGAGCAGGTGAGTGGTGCGGCAGAGCAGGTGAGTGGTGCAGCAGAGCAGGTGAGTGGTGCAGCAGAGCAGGTGAGTGGTGCAGCAGAGCAGGTGAGTGGTGCAGCAGAGCAGGTGAGTGGTGCAGCAGAGCAGGTGAGTGGTGTAGCAGAGCAGGTGAGTGGTGCGGCAGAGCAGGTGAGTGGTGCGGCAGAGCAGGTGAGTGGTGCAGCAGAGCAGGTGAGTGGTGCAGCAGAGCAGGTGAGTGGTGCAGCAGAGCAGGTGAGTGGTGCAGCAGAGCAGGTGAGTGGTGCAGCAGAGCAGGTGAGTGGTGCAGCAGAGCAGGTGAGTGGTGCAGCAGAGCAGGTGAGTGGTGCGGCAGAGCAGGTGAGTGGTGCGGCAGAGCAGGTGAGTGGTGCGGCAGAGCAGGTGAGTGGTGCGGCAGAACAGGTGAGTGGTGCAGCAGAGCAGGTGAGTGGTGCGGCAGAGCAGGTGAGTGGTGCAGCAGAGCAGGTGAGTGGTGCGGCAGAGCAGGTGAGTGGTGCACCAGAGCAGGTGAGTGGTGCAGCAGAGCAGGTGAGTGGTGCAGCAGAGCAGGTGAGTGGTGCGGCAGAGCAGGTGAGTGGTGCAGCAGAGCAGGTGAGTGGTGCAGCAGAGCAGGTGAGTGGTGCAGCAGAGCAGGTGAGTGGTGCAGCAGAGCAGGTGAGTGGTGCAGCAGAGCAGGTGAGTGGTGCAGCAGAGCAGGTGAGTGGTGCGGCAGAGCAGGTGAGTGGTGCAGCAGAGCAGGTGAGTGGTGCAGCAGAGCAGGTGAGTGGTGCAGCAGAGCAGGTGATTGGTGCAGCAGAGCAGGTGGGTGGTGCAGCAGAGCAGGTGAGTGGTGCAGCAGAGCAGGTGAGTGGTGCAGCAGAGCAGGTGAGTGGTGCAGCAGAGCAGGTGAGTGGTGTAGCAGAGCAGGTGCGTGGTGCGGCAGAGCAGGTGAGTGGTGCAGCAGAGCAGGTGAGTGGTGCAGCAGAGCAGGTGAGTGGTGCAGCAGAGCAGGTGAGTGGTGCAGCAGAGCAGGTGAGTGGTGCAGCAGAGCAGGTGAGTGGTGCGGCAGAGCAGGTGAGTGGTGCAGCAGAGCAGGTGAGTGGTGCAGCAGAGCAGGTGAGTGGTGCAGCAGAGCAGGTGAGTGGTACAGCAGAGCAGGTGAGTGGTGCAGCAGAGCAGGTGAGTGGTGTAGCAGAGCAGGTGAGTGGTGCGGCAGAGCAGGTGAGTGGTGCGGCAGAGCAGGTGAGTGGTGCAGCAGAGCAGGTGAGTGGTGCAGCAGAGCAGGTGAGTGGTGCAGCAGAGCAGGTGAGTGGTGCAGCAGAGCAGGTGAGTGGTGCAGCAGAGCAGGTGAGTGGTGCAGCAGAGCAGGTGAGTGGTGCAGCAGAGCAGGTGAGTGGTGCGGCAGAGCAGGTGAGTGGTGCAGCAGAGCAGGTGAGTGGTGCAGCAGAGCAGGTGAGTGGTGCAGCAGAGCAGGTGAGTGGTGCGGCAGAGCAGGTGAGTGGTGCGGCAGAGCAGGTGAGTGGTGCGGCAGAGCAGGTGAGTGGTGCGGCAGAACAGGTGAGTGGTGCAGCAGAGTAGGTGAGTGGTGCGGCAGAGCAGGTGAGTGGTGCAGCAGAGCAGGTGAGTGGTGCGGCAGAGCAGGTGAGTGGTGCACCAGAGCAGGTGAGTGGTGCGGCAGAGCAGGTGAGTGGTGCAGCAGAGCAGGTGAGTGGTGCGGCAGAGCAGGTGAGTGGTGCGGCAGAGCAGGTGAGTGGTGCGGTAGAGCAGGTGAGTGATGCAGCAGAGCAGGTGAGTGGTGCGGCAGCGCAGGTGAGTGGTGCGGCAGAGCAGGTGAGTGGTGCGGCAGAGCAGGTGAGTGGTGCAGCAGAGCAGGTGAGTGGTGCAGCAGAGCAGGTGAGTGGTGCGGCAGAGCAGGTGAGTGGTGCAGCAGAGCAGGTGAGTGGTGCGGCAGAGCAGGTGAGTGGTGCAGCAGAGCAGGTGAGTGGTGCGGCAGAGCAGGTGAGTGGTGCAGCAGAGCAGGTGAGTGGTGCGACAGAGCAGGTGAGTGGTGCAGCAGAGCAGGTGAGTGGTGCGGCAGAGCAGGTGAGTGGTGCAGCAGATCAGGTGAGTGGTTCAGCAGAGCAGGTGAGTGGTGCAGCAGAGCAGGTGAGTGGTGCAGCAGAGCAGGTGAGTGGTGCAGCAGAGCAGGTGAGTGGTGCAGCAGAGCAGGTGAGTGGTGCAGCAGAGCAGGTGAGTGGTGCAGCAGAGCAGGTGAGTGGTGCAGCAGAGCAGGTGAGTGGTGCAGCAGAGCAGGTGAGTGGTGCAGCAGAGCAGGTGAGTGGTGCAGCAGAGCAGGTGAGTGGTGCGGCAGAGCAGGTGAGTGGTGCAGCAGAGCAGGTGAGTGGTGCAGCAGAGCTGGTGAGTGGTGCAGCAGAGCAGGTGAGTGGTGCAGCAGAGCAGGTGAGTGGTGCGGCAGAGCAGGTGAGTGGTGCAGCAGAGCAGGTGAGTGGTGCAGCAGAGCAGGTGAGTGGTGCAGCAGAGCAGGTGAGTGGTGCAGCAGAGCAGGTGAGTGGTGCAGCAGAGCAGGTGAGTGGTGCAGCAGAGCAGGTGAGTGGTGCAGCAGAGCAGGTGAGTGGTGCGGCAGAGCAGGTGAGTGGTGCAGCAGAGCAGGTAAGTGGTGCAGCAGAGCAGGTGAGTGGTGCAGCAGAGCAGGTGAGTGGTGCGGCAGAGCAGGTGAGTGGTGCGGCAGAGCAGGTGAGTGGTGCGGCAGAGCAGGTGAGTGGTGCGGCAGAACAGGTGAGTGGTGCAGCAGAGCAGGTGAGTGGTGCGGCAGAGCAGGTGAGTGGTGCAGCAGAGCAGGTGAGTGGTGCGGCAGAGCAGGTGAGTGGTGCAGCAGAGCAGGTGAGTGGTGCGGCAGAGCAGGTGAGTGGTGCAGCAGAGCAGGTGAGTGGTGCAGCAGAGCAGGTGAGTGGTGCGGCAGAGCAGGTGAGTGGTGCAGCAGAGCAGGTGAGTGGTGCAGCAGAGCAGGTGAGTGGTGCAGCAGAGCAGGTGAGTGGTGCAGCAGAGCAGGTGAGTGGTGCAGCAGAGCAGGTGAGTGGTGCGGCAGAGCAGGTGAGTGGTGCAGAAGAGCAGGTGAGTGGTGCAGCAGAGCAGGTGAGTGGTGCAGCAGAGCAGGTGAGTGGTGCAGCAGAGCAGGTGAGTGGTGCGGCAGAGCAGGTGAGTGGTGCAGCAGAGCAGGTGAGTGGTGCGGCAGAGCAGGTGAGTGGTGCGGCAGAGCAGGTGAGTGGTGCAGCAGAGCAGGTGAGTGGTGCAGCAGAGCAGGTGAGTGGTGCGGCAGAGCAGGTGAGTGGTGCAGCAGAGCAGGTGAGTGGTGCGGCAGAGCAGGTGAGTGGTGCAGCAGAGCAGGTGAGTGGTGCGACAGAGCAGGTGAGTGGTGCAGCAGAGCAGGTGAGTGGTGCGGCAGAGCAGGTGAGTGGTGCAGCAGAGCAGGTGAGTGGTGCGGCAGAGCAGGTGAGTGGTGCAGCAGAGCAGGTGAGTGGTGCGGCAGAGCAGGTGAGTGGTGCAGCAGAGCAGGTGAGTGGTGCGACAGAGCAGGTGAGTGGTGCAGCAGAGCAGGTGAGTGGTGCGGCAGAGCAGGTGAGTGGTGCGGCAGAACAGGTGAGTGGTGCAGCAGAGCAGGTGAGTGGTGCGGCAGAGCAGGTGAGTGGTGCAGCAGAGCAGGTGAGTGGTGCGGCAGAGCAGGTGAGTGGTGCAGCAGAGCAGGTGAGTGGTGCGGCAGAGCAGGTGAGTGGTGCAGCAGAGCAGGTGAGTGGTGCAGCAGAGCAGGTGAGTGGTGCGGCAGAGCAGGTGAGTGGTGTAGCAGAGCAGGTGAGTGGTGCGGCAGAGCAGGTGAGTGGTGCGGCAGAGCAGGTGAGTGGTGCGGCAGAGCAGGTGAGTGGTGCGGCAGAGCAGGTGAGTGGTGCGGCAGAGCAGGTGAGTGGTGCGGCAGAGCAGGTGAGTGGTGCGGCAGAGCAGGTGAGTGGTGCGGCAGAGCAGGTGAGTGGTGCGGCAGAGCAGGTGAGTGGTTTAGAAGAGCAGGTGAGTGGTGCGGCAGAGCAGGTGAGTGGTGCGGCAGAGCAGGTGAGTGGTGCGGCAGAGCAGGTGAGTGGTGCGGCAGAGCAGGTGAGTGGTGCGGCAGAGCAGGTGAGTGGTGCGGCAGAGCAGGTGAGTGGTGCGGCAGAGCAGGTGAGTGGTGCGGCAGTGCAGGTGAGTGGTGCGGCAGAGCAGGTGAGTGGTGCGGCAGAGCAGGTGAGTGGTGCGGCAGAGCAGGTGAGTGGTGCGGCAGAGCAGGTGAGTGGTGCGGCAGAGCAGGTGAGTGGTGCGGCAGAGCAGGTGAGTGGTGCGGCAGAGCAGGTGAGTGGTGCGGCAGAGCAGGTGAGTGGTGCGGCAGAGCAGGTGAGTGGTGCGGCAGAGCAGGTGAGTGGTGCGGCAGAGCAGGTGAGTGGTGCGGCAGAGCAGGTGAGTGGTGCGGCAGAGCAGGTGAGTGGTGCGGCAGAGCAGGTGAGTGGTGCGGCAGAGCAGGTGAGTAGTGCGGCAGAGCAGGTGATTGGTGCGGCAGAGCAGGTGAGTGGTGCGGCAGAGCAGGTGAGTGGAGCGGCAGAGCAGGTGAGTGGTGTAGAAGAGCAGGTGAGTGGTGCGGCAGAGCAGGTGAGTGGTGCGGCAGAGCAGGTGAGTGGTGCGGCAGAGCAGGTGAGTGGTGCGGCAGAGCAGGTGAGTGGTGCGGCAGAGCAGGTGAGTGGTGCGGCAGAGCAGGTGAGTGGTGCGGCAGAGCAGGTGAGTGGTGCGGCAGTGCAGGTGAGTGGTGCGGCAGAGCAGGTGAGTGGTGCGGCAGAGCAGGTGAGTGGTGCGGCAGAGCAGGTGAGTGGTGCGGCAGAGCAGGTGAGTGGTGCGGCAGAGCAGGTGAGTGGTGCGGCAGAGCAGGTGAGTGGTGCGGCAGAGCAGGTGAGTGGTGTAGCAGAGCAGGTGAGTGGTGCGGCAGAGCAGGTGAGTGGTGCGGCAGAGCAGGTGAGTGGTGCGGCAGAGCAGGTGAGTGGTGCGGCAGAGCAGGTGAGTGGTGCGGCAGAGCAGGTGAGTGGTGCGGCAGAGCAGGTGAGTGGTGCGGCAGAGCAGGTGAGTGGTGCGGCAGAGCAGGTGAGTGGTGCGGCAGAGCAGGTGAGTGGTGCGGCAGAGCAGGTGAGTGGTGTAGAAGAGCAGGTGAGTGGTGCGGCAGAGCAGGTGAGTGGTGCGGCAGAGCAGGTGAGTGGTGCGGCAGAGCAGGTGAGTGGTGCGGCAGAGCAGGTGAGTGGTGCGGCAGAGCAGGTGAGTGGTGCGGCAGAGCAGGTGAGTGGTGCGGCAGAGCAGGTGAGTGGTGCGGCAGTGCAGGTGAGTGGTGCGGCAGAGCAGGTGAGTGGTGCGGCAGAGCAGGTGAGTGGTGCGGCAGAGCAGGTGAGTGGTGCGGCAGAGCAGGTGAGTGGTGCGGCAGAGCAGGTGAGTGGTGCGGCAGAGCAGGTGAGTGGTGCGGCAGAGCAGGTGAGTGGTGCGGCAGAGCAGGTGAGTGGTGCGGCAGAGCAGGTGAGTGGTGCGGCAGAGCAGGTGAGTGGTGCGGCAGAGCAGGTGAGTGGTGCGGCAGAGCAGGTGATTGGTGCGGCAGAGCAGGTGAGTGGTGCGGCAGAGCAGGTGAGTGGAGCGGCAGAGCAGGTGAGTGGTGTAGAAGAGCAGGTGAGTGGTGCGGCAGAGCAGGTGAGTGGTGCGGCAGAGCAGGTGAGTGGTGCGGCAGAGCAGGTGAGTGGTGAGGCAGAGCAGGTGAGTGGTGCGGCAGAGCAGGTGAGTGGTGCGGCAGAGCAGGTGAGTGGTGCGGCAGAGCAGGTGAGTGGTGCGGCAGAGCAGGTGAGTGGTGCGGCAGAGCAGGTGAGTGGTGCGGCAGAGCAGGTGAGTGGTGCGGCAGAGCAGGTGAGTGGTGCGGCAGAGCAGGTGAGTGGTGCGGCAGAGCAGGTGAGTGGTGCGGCAGAGCAGGTGAGTGGTGCGGCAGAGCAGGTGAGTGGTGCGGCAGAGCAGGTGAGTGGTGCGGCAGAGCAGGTGAGTGGTGCGGCAGAGCAGGTGAGTGGTGCGGCAGAGCAGGTGAGTGGTGCGGCAGAGCAGGTGAGTGGTGCGGCAGAGCAGGTGAGTGGTGCGGCAGAGCAGGTGAGTGGTGCGGCAGAGCAGGTGAGTGGTGCGGCAGAGCAGGTGAGTGGTGCGGCAGAGCAGGTGAGTGGTGCGGCAGAGCAGGTGAGTGGTGCGGCAGAGCAGGTGAGTGGTGCGGCAGAGCAGGTGAGTGGTGCGGCAGAGCAGGTGAGTGGTGCGGCAGAGCAGGTGAGTGGTGCGGCAGAGCAGGTGAGTGGTGCGGCAGAGCAGGTGAGTGGTGCGGCAGAGCAGGTGAGTGGTGCGGCAGAGCAGGTGAGTGGTGCGGCAGAGCAGGTGAGTGGTGCGGCAGAGCAGGTGAGTGGTGCGGCAGAGCAGGTGAGTGGTGCGGCAGAGCAGGTGAGTGGTGCGGCAGAGCAGGTGAGTGGTGCAGCAGAGCAGGTGAGTGGTGCAGCAGAGCAGGTGAGTGGTGCAGCAGAGCAGATGAGTGGTGCAGCAGAGCAGGTGAGTGGTGCAGCAGAGCAGGTGAGTGGTGCAGCAGAGCAGGTGAGTGGTGCAGCAGAGCAGGTGAGTGGTGCGGCAGAGCAGGTGAGTGGTGCAGCAGAGCAGGTGAGTGGTGCAGCAGAGCAGGTGAGTGGTGCAGCAGAGCAGGTGAGTGGTGCAGCAGAGCAGGTGAGTGGTGCAGCAGAGCAGGTGAGTGGTGTGGCAGAGCAGGTGAGTGGTGCGGCAGAGCAGGTGAGTGGTGCGGCAGAGCAGGTGAGTGGTGCAGCAGAGCAGGTGAGTGGTGCGGCAGAGCAGGTGAGTGGTGCAGCAGAGCAGGTGAGTGGTGCAGCAGAGCAGGTGAGTGGTGCAGCAGAGCAGGTGAGTGGTGCGGCAGAGCAGGTGAGTGGTGCAGCAGAGCAGGTGAGTGGTGCAGCAGAGCAGGTGAGTGGTGCGGCAGAGCAGGTGAGTGGTGCGGCAGAGCAGGTGAGTGGTGCAGCAGAGCAGGTGAGTGGTGCGGCAGAGCAGGTGAGTGGTGCAGCAGAGCAGGTGAGTGGTGCGGCAGAGCAGGTGAGTGGTGCAGCAGAGCAGGTGAATGGTGCAGCAGAGCAGGTGAGTGGTGCAGCAGAGCAGGTGAGTGGTGCAGCAGAGCAGGTGAGTGGTGCGACAGAGCAGGTGAGTGGTGCAGCAGAGCAGGTGAGTGGTGCAGCAGAGCAGGTGAGTGGTGCAGCAGAGCAGGTGAGTGGTGCGGCAGAGCAGGTGAGTGGTGCGGCAGAGCAGGTGAGTGGTGCAGCAGAGCAGGTGAGTGGTGCAGCAGAGCAGGTGAGTGGTGCAGCAGAGCAGGTGAGTGGTGCAGCAGAGCAGGTGAGTGGTGCGGCAGAGCAGGTGAGTGGTGCGGCAGAGCAGGTGAGTGGTGCAGCAGAGCAGGTGAGTGGTGCAGCAGAACAGGTGAGTGGTGCGGCAGAGCAGGTGAGTGGTGCAGCAGAGCAGGTGAGTGGTGCAGCAGAGCTGGTGAGTGGTGCAGCAGAGCAGGTGAGTGGTGCAGCAGAGCAGGTGAGTGGTGCAGCAGAGCAGGTGAGTAGTGCGGCAGAGCAGGTGAGTGGTGCAGCAGAGCAGGTGAGTGGTGCGGCAGAGCAGGTGAGTGGTGCGGCAGAGCAGGTGAGTGGTGCAGCAGAGCAGGTGAGTGGTGCGGCAGAGCAGGTGAGTGGTGCGGCAGAGCAGGTGAGTGGTGCAGCAGAGCAGGTGAGTGGTGCGGCAGAGCAGGTGAGTGGTGCGGCAGAGCAGGTGAGTGGTGCGGCAGAGCAGGTGAGTGGTGCAGCAGAGCAGGTGAGTGGTGCGGCAGAGCAGGTGAGTGGTGCAGCAGAGCAGGTGAGTGGTGCGGCAGAGCAGGTGAGTGGTGCGGCAGTGCAGGTGAGTGGTGCGGCAGAGCAGGTGAGTGGTGCGGCAGAGCAGGTGAGTGGTGCGGCAGAGCAGGTGAGTGGTGCGGCAGAGCAGGTGAGTGGTGCAGCAGAGCAGGTGAGTGGTGCGGCAGAGCAGGTGAGTGGTGCGGCAGAGCAGGTGAGTGGTGCGGCAGAGCAGGTGAGTGGTGCGGCAGAGCAGGTGAGTGGTGCGGCAGAGCAGGTGAGTGGTGCGGCAGAGCAGGTGAGTGGTGCGGCAGTGCAGGTGAGTGGTGCGGCAGAGCAGGTGAGTGGTGCAGCAGTGCAGGTGAGTGGTGCGGCAGAGCAGGTGAGTGGTGCGGCAGAGCAGGTGAGTGGTGCGGCAGAGCAGGTGAGTGGTGCGGCAGAGCAGGTGAGTGGTGCGGCAGAGCAGGTGAGTGGTGCGGCAGAGCAGGTGAGTGGTGCGGCAGAGCAGGTGAGTGGTGCGGCAGTGCAGGTGAGTGGTGCGGCAGAGCAGGTGAGTGGTGCGGCAGTGCAGGTGAGTGGTGCGGCAGAGCAGGTGAGTGGTGCGGCAGAGCAGGTGAGTGGTGCGGCAGAGCAGGTGAGTGGTGCGGCAGAGCAGGTGAGTGGTGCGGCAGAGCAGGTGAGTGGTGCGGCAGAGCAGGTGAGTGGTGCGGCAGAGCAGGTGAGTGGTGTAGCAGAGCAGGTGAGTGGTGCGGCAGAGCAGGTGAGTGGTGCGGCAGAGCAGGTGAGTGGTGCGGCAGAGCAGGTGAGTGGTGCGGCAGAGCAGGTGAGTGGTGCGGCAGAGCAGGTGAGTGGTGCGGCAGAGCAGGTGAGTGGTGCGGCAGAGCAGGTAAGTGGTGCGGCAGAGCAGGTGAGTGGTGCGGCAGAGCAGGTGAGTGGTGCGGCAGAGCAGGTGAGTGGTGCGGCAGAGCAGGTGAGTGGTGCGGCAGAGCAGGTGAGTGGTGCGGCAGAGCAGGTGAGTGGTGCGGCAGAGCAGGTGAGTGGTGCGGCAGAGCAGGTGAGTGGTGCGGCAGAGCAGGTGAGTGGTTCGGCAGTGCAGGTGAGTGGTGCGGCAGAGCAGGTGAGTGGTGCGGCAGTGCAGGTGAGTGGTGCGGCAGAGCAGGTGAGTGGTGCGGCAGAGCAGGTGAGTGGTGCGGCAGAGCAGGTGAGTGGTGCGGCAGAGCAGGTGAGTGGTGCGGCAGAGCAGGTGAGTGGTGCGGCAGAGCAGGTGAGTGGTGCGGCAGAGCAGGTGAGTGGTGCGGCAGAGCAGGTGAGTGGTGCGGCAGAGCAGGTGAGTGGTGCGGCAGAGCAGGTGAGTGGTGCGGCAGAGCAGGTGAGTGGTGTAGCAGAGCAGGTGAGTGGTGCGGCAGAGCAGGTGAGTGGTGCGGCAGAGCAGGTGAGTGGTGCGGCAGAGCAGGTGAGTGGTGCGGCAGTGCAGGTGAGTGGTGCGGCAGAGCAGGTGAGTGGTGCGGCAGAGCAGGTGAGTGGTGCGGCAGAGCAGGTAAGTGGTGCGGCAGAGCAGGTGAGTGGTGCGGCAGAGCAGGTGAGTGGTGCGGCAGAGCAGGTGAGTGGTGCGGCAGAGCAGGTGAGTGGTGCGGCAGAGCAGGTGAGTGGTGCGGCAGAGCAGGTGAGTGGTGCGGCAGAGCAGGTGAGTGGTGCAGCAGAGCAGGTGAGTGGTGCGGCAGAGCAGGTGAGTGGTGCGGCAGAGCAGGTGAGTGGTGCGGCAGAGCAGGTGAGTGGTGCGGCAGAGCAGGTGAGTGGTGCGGCAGAGCAGGTGAGTGGTGCGGCAGAGCAGGTGAGTGGTGCGGCAGAGCAGGTGAGTGGTGCGGCAGAGCAGGTGAGTGGTGCGGCAGAGCAGGTGAGTGGTGCGGCAGAGCAGGTGAGTGGTGCGGCAGAGCAGGTGAGTGGTGCGGCAGAGCAGGTGAGTGGTGCGGCAGAGCAGGTGAGTGGTGCGGCAGAGCAGGTGAGTGGTGCGGCAGAGCAGGTGAGTGGTGCGGCAGAGCAGGTGAGTGGTGCGGCAGAGCAGGTGAGTGGAGCGGCAGAGCAGGTGAGTGGTGCGGCAGAGCAGGTGAGTGGTGCAGCAGAGCAGGTGAGTGGTGCAGCAGAGCAGGTGAGTGGTGCAGCAGAGCAGGTGAGTGGTGCAGCAGAGCAGGTGAGTGGTGTAGCAGAGCAGGTGAGTGGTGCGGCAGAGCAGGTGAGTGGTGCGGCAGAGCAGGTGAGTGGTGCAGCAGAGCAGGTGAGTGGTGCAGCAGAGCAGGTGAGTGGTGCAGCAGAGCAGGTGAGTGGTGCAGCAGAGCAGGTGAGTGGTGCAGCAGAGCAGGTGAGTGGTGCAGCAGAGCAGGTGAGTGGTGCAGCAGAGCAGGTGAGTGGTGCGGCAGAGCAGGTGAGTGGTGCGGCAGAGCAGGTGAGTGGTGCGGCAGAGCAGGTGAGTGGTGCGGCAGAACAGGTGAGTGGTGCAGCAGAGCAGGTGAGTGGTGCGGCAGAGCAGGTGAGTGGTGCAGCAGAGCAGGTGAGTGGTGCGGCAGAGCAGGTGAGTGGTGCACCAGAGCAGGTGAGTGGTGCGGCACAGCAGGTGAGTGGTGCGGCAGAGCAGGTGAGTGGTGCGGCAGAGCAGGTGAGTGGTGCGGCAGAGCAGGTTAGTGGTGCGGCAGAGCAGGTGAGTGGTGCGGCAGAGCAGGTGAGTGGTGCGGCAGAGCAGGTGAGTGGTGCAGCAGAGCAGGTGAGTGGTGCAGAGCAGGTGAGTGGTGCGGCAGAGCAGGTGAGTGGTGCGGCAGAGCAGGTGAGTGGTGCGGCAGAGCAGGTGAGTGGTGCGGCAGAGCAGGTGAGTGGTGCGGCAGAGCAGGTGAGTGGTGCGGCAGAGCAGGTGAGTGGTGCGGCAGAGCAGGTGAGTGGTGCGGCAGAGCAGGTGAGTGGTGCGGCAGAGCAGGTGAGTGGTGTAGCAGAGCAGGTGAGTGGTGTAGCAGAGCAGGTGAGTGGTGCGGCAGAGCAGGTGAGTGGTGCGGCAGAGCAGGTGAGTGGTGCGGCAGAGCAGGTGAGTGGTGCAGCAGAGCAGGTGAGTGGTGCGGCAGAGCAGGTGAGTGGTGCGGCAGAGCAGGTGAGTGGTGCAGCAGAGCAGGTGAGTGGTGCGGCAGAGCAGGTGAGTGGTGCGGCAGAGCAGGTGAGTGGTGCAGCAGAGCAGGTGAGTGGTGCAGCAGAGCAGGTGAGTGGTGCAGCAGAGCAGGTGAGTGGTGCAGCAGAGCAGGTGAGTGGTGCGGCAGAGCAGATGAGTGGTGCGGCAGAGCAGGTGAGTGGTGCAGCAGAGCAGGTGAGTGGTGCGGCAGAGCAGGTGAGTGGTGCAGCAGAGCAGGTGAGTGGTGCAGCAGAGCAGGTGAGTGGTGCAGCAGAGCAGGTGAGTGGTGCGGCAGAGCAGGTGAGTGGTGCGGCAGAGCAGGTGAGTGGTGCAGCAGAGCAGGTGAGTGGTGCGGCAGAGCAGGTGAGTGGTGCGGCAGAGCAGGTGAGTGGTGCGGCAGAGCAGGTGAGTGGTGCGGCAGAGCAGGTGAGTGGTGCAGCAGAGCAGGTGAGTGGTGCGGCAGAGCAGGTGAGTGGTGCGGCAGAGCAGGTGAGTGGTGCGGCAGAGCAGGTGAGTGGTGCGGCAGAGCAGGTGAGTGGTGCAGCAGAGCAGGTGAGTGGTGCGGCAGAGCAGGTGAGTGGTGCGCCAGAGCAGGTGAGTGGTGCAGCAGAGCAGGTGAGTGGCGCGGCAGAGCAGGTGAGTGGTGCAGCAGAGCAGGTGAGTGGTGCAGCAGAGCAGGTGAGTGGTGCAGCAGAGCAGGTGAGTGGTGCAGCAGAGCAGGTGAGTGGTGCAGCAGAGCAGGTGAGTGGTGCGGCAGAGCACGTGAGTGGTGCAGCAGAGCAGGTGAGTGGTGCAGCAGAGCAGGTGAGTGGTGCAGCAGAGCAGGTGAGTGGTGCAGCAGAGCAGGTGAGTCGTGCAGCAGAGCAGGTGAGTGGTGCGGCAGAGCAGGTGAGTGGTGCAGCAGAGCAGGTGAGTGGTGCAGCAGAGCAGGTGAGTGGTGCAGCAGAGCAGGTGAGTGGTGCAGCAGAGCAGGTGAGAGGTGCAGCAGAGCAGGTGAGTGGTGCAGCAGAGCAGGTGAGTGGTGCAGCAGAGCAGGGCACGGGGTGTGTGGGTGCTGGACTCGCTGCTGATAGCCTGGTGCTGGTGGTGGGGCGTGACGCCAGTAGCCCTGCTGCAGAGCACATGGGTGAGGTGACAGGGCATGGGGCGTGCCAGTGTGGTGGTCGAGGTGTGCTTTGAATCGAATCACTCACATGTGGTTGGATATGCTGCTGCTGCTGCTGCTGCTGGTGCTGGTGGTGGGGAGTGACGCCAGCAGCCGTGCAGCAGGGGAAGCGAGTGAGGTGACAGGTCATGAGGGTGTTGGTCTGGTGTTGAGGTGTGGTTTGAGATGACTCCTGAACATGCTGCTTGTGCTGCTGGTGGGTAGTGACGCCAGTAGCCCTGCTGCAGAGGAGGTGTGTGAGAGGGCATGGGGGTGTTGGTCTAGAGGAGGTGTGTGAGAGGGCATGTGTGGTGTGAGGATGGGGCAGGTTTCACACAACAGGTCGGCGCATGAGGCATGCCGTGTCGGTGAGTGTTAGTAGGTCAGCAATGGGCCCTTGTTTTGACCTTGGAAAGCACGTCTCATCACTTCACCCCCCTGCCCTTGTCACTTCACCCCCCTGCCCTTGTCACTTCACCCCCCTGCCCTTGTCACTTCACCCCCCTGCCCTTGTCACTTCACCCCCCTGTGCTGGTCACTTATCCTGCCTACCTGTAGTGAACTTGTGCCACTTTTCTTCTTTCTCCCCCTCTTTGATTCAATTCTCACTCTCCCTTCAGTTTCTGTCACTCATTATCCCCTACGTTTGCACCTGCCCTGCCCACCCCTACATACACCACCCCTTACATACACTGCCCTGGCTCCCACTCTGGTCAACATCTTGACATACGTATTTCAGGAGGACGGCCCCGGACCACCTGGATCATCTGGATCACATTCCTTGCAACGCTTCTGCTTTGCAGTGCCCAAGATACCCGAGTACTTCACTGTATGGCACTCCTTCTCACACTCTCCTTCTCACACCCTCCTTCTCTCACTCTCCTTCTCACAATCTCCTTCTGTGTGCAAATCAAAACAAGCAGCGCATATCGTCTCTCTCATCCCCCCTTGCTCTCCCTTCTGCTCTCCTCTCCCTTCCCCCCTTACTCCCCTCCCCCTCCTCAGGCGGCAAGGCGACAACATGAGCGTAATCGGAAAGGTGATGGCAGAAAGCTTGCTTGTGATTGGTTAATAAGCAGAAATGGGGTACAAGAGAGGGGAAGAAAACCCCCCTAAAATCCTGAAAAAACCCCCCCACAGCCCCCCCAAGGCCCCCCTAAGGCCCCCCTACCCCCCAATTCTCCTCACAGCCCCTCACAGCCCCCCTCGAACCGCCCTGGAAATCCCTGGGCATGGCCCATGCATATCTGCTCCCTGTCATATCACATTCCTGCTTCTGCTTCTACTTTGTGCTTCCTATCTATCATATCCCTCCCGGGCATGGCATGGCATGGCCAACCAGGGATGGGCGCACAGCACAGAGAGCCAAGAGCTCATCCACCACTCCCTCTTCTGTTCTGCTTCTGCTCCCCACTCCCCTCCCTTTTCCCTCACCCCTCCCCCCTTTCTCTGCCCGCCTGCGTATATAATAACAAGCACATACATTCATATTCGCTAGGTCATCAAATCAAATCTATAAGTCATCTATCACTCTACGCGTCGTAGCAAATAGCCTCGTGTTGTAGACAGGAGAAAATGGCACATGCGCTCCATCCTTGTGCCTCTGTTTCTCTCTCTTCTTCTCCCTCATGTCCTGCCCTGCGCATGGCTGAACACAAGCAGGTGGCAACGCATCTACTCCCTGTTTCCGTTTCTGCCACTCTTTCATATCCCAAACCTGGCCCAAACCAAACCTGCACTCCCCCCATCCCCCTGCACATATAATAACAGGCTCATACATTTATGTTCCTAACGTAATCAGATTCATCAATCCCTACCACTCTACACATTGCAAGCCAAGTGTCTTCGTCTTGGCGACAGGAGGGAAGCTGGCACCTGCGCAAGGGGAGGGGGGGAGTTGGGGTGGGGGAGAGGGGAAGCGGAGCAAGTGAGCGGGGGGAGCAGGGCAAGTGAGGGGATGGCAGGAGGTGTGAGGGCATGGTGGGATGGCAGGTGTGAGGGATATGGCAAGGTGTGCAGTGCATGCTCTGGGGCGACTCACAACGCACCTGGGGCTGGTTTGGTGGGCCATGCAGCATGGCATGGCGCTGCGCTCCCTCCTCCTGCTTCTGTTTCTCTCCCTTGTTCTCTCTCATGTCCCGCGCATGGATGATGAGGGACGGCCACACAAGCAGCTGGCAACGCATCTGCTCCCTGTGCAAAGTATCTTCATCTTGGCGACAGGAGAAACTGGCACCTGCGCAAGGGGAGGGGAGGAGTTGGGGTGGGGGAGCAGAGCAAGTGAGCGGGGGGAGCAGGGCAAGTGAGCGGGGGGAGCACCCTAAACCCCCTTACCCCCTTACCTGGCAGGAAATGAAAGTCACCATGCAGGGAATGCAACCCACCAGCCAGGGCATGAACAGGCACCATGCAGGGCATGTGAAGACACCGTGCAACATGCGAAGGCACCTTGCAGGGCATGAGAAGGCACCTGGCAGAAGGGGTAAAGTGGGAAAAGAGGGGAGGGGGTGGGTGAGACAAGCTCAAATGGGCAGGCGCTGCACTGGCAGCTGGCAGAAAGGGGAGGGGAGAGGGTGGCTTGGACGTCTCACAGTTCCCCATGTCCCCTTACACCCCCCCCTTGAGCAAAGAATGCACACAGGAACAACAAACAAGCAAGCAAAACAAACTGAAACAGACAAACAAACAAACAAACAAACAAACAAACAGGAAATATTGGGATGGAAAGAGGGGACGGGGTGAGTGACAAATGAGCTCTGGAATAATGAGCTGAATATTAAGGAACGTGCGCATCTGCATGCGTATACGCATGAATACTCGCATGTCTGGTACCTACCTGTTTAACCTAGATGCGCGTAGACATACGTATGCATGCGTACGCATGCCTTCATGCACGTAGTGCGTCTACCTACCGTACACACTCGTACGCGACGCATATGTACATAACCGTACATGCACCAACGCGTACGCACTCGTACGACCGACCTTTTTCTTTGCCCGCGCAAAGAGAGCCGTTGATATCGTCTCGCCGGGGACAATCGCTCTTGCTCGACTGATCGTCAAGTGTGACCAATTTTCGCCATTCAGCACCGTGGTTACGCCAACAGATTGATTGGTTGGATGCTGACCGGGACAAGCTTCACTTCCACCATTGGGCTGGGATAGAAAGAGAGAGACACGAAGGGCAGCGAGCGACATAGAGGGAGTGATGGAGGTGCAAGGAAGAGAAAGGGTGTTGAGCCTCAGTTGTTAAGGAGGTTTAGGGGGTGCAGAGATGCCCGAGAGCAGGTGAGTGGTGCAGCAGAGCAGGTGAGTGGTGCAGCAGAGCAGGTGAGTGGTGCAGCAGAGCAGGTGAGTGGTGCAGCAGAGCAGGTGAGTGGTGCAGCAGAGCAGGTGAGTGGTGCAGCAGAGCAGGTGAGTGGTGCAGCAGAGCAGGTGAGTGGTGCAGCAGAGCAGGTGAGTGGTGCGGCAGAGCAGGTGAGTGGTGCAGCAGAGCAGGTGAGTGGTGCGGCAGAGCAGGTGAGTGGTGCGGCAGAGCAGGTGAGTGGTGCGGCAGAGCAGGTGAGTGGTGCGGCAGAGCAGGTGAGTGGTGCGGCAGAGCAGGTGAGTGGTGCGGCAGAGCAGGTGAGTGGTGCGGCAGAGCAGGTGAGTGGTGCGGCAGAGCAGGTGAGTGGTGCAGCAGAGCAGGTGAGTGGTGCGGCAGAGCAGGTGAGTGGTGCGGCAGAGCAGGTGAGTGGTGCGGCAGAGCAGGTGAGTGGTGCAGCAGAGCAGGTGAGTGGTGCGGCAGAGCAGGTGAGTGGTGCAGCAGAGCAGGTGAGTGGTGCGGCAGAGCAGGTGAGTGGTGCGGCAGAGCAGGTGAGTGGTGCGGCAGAGCAGGTGAGTGGTGCAGCAGAGCAGGTGAGTGGTGCAGCAGAGCAGGTGAGTGGTGCGGCAGAGCAGGTGAGTGGTGCGGCAGAGCAGGTGAGTGGTGCGGCAGAGCAGGTGAGTGGTGCGGCAGAGCTGGTGAGTGGTGCGGCAGAGCTGGTGAGTGGTGCGGCAGAGCAGGTGAGTGGTGCGGCAGAGCAGGTGAGTGGTGCGGCAGAGCTGGTGAGTGGTGCGGCAGAGCTGGTGAGTGGTGCGGCAGAGCAGGTGAGTGGTGCGGCAGAGCAGGTGAGTGGTGCGGCAGAGCAGGTGAGTGGTGCGGCAGAGCAGGTGAGTGGTGCGGCAGAGCAGGTGAGTGGTGCGGCAGAGCAGGTGAGTGGTGCGGCAGAGCAGGTGAGTGGTGCGGCAGAGCAGGTGAGTGGTGCGGCAGAGCAGGTGAGTGGTGCGGCAGAGCAGGTGAGTGGTGCGGCAGAGCAGGTGAGTGGTGCGGCAGAGCAGGTGAGTGGTGCGGCAGAGCAGGTGAGTGGTGCGGCAGAGCAGGTGAGTGGTGCGGCAGAGCAGGTGAGTGGTGCGGCAGAGCAGGTGAGTGGTGCAGCAGAGCAGGTGAGTGGTGCGGCAGAGCAGGTGAGTGGTGCAGCAGAGCAGGTGAGTGGTGCGGCAGAGCAGGTGAGTGGTGCGGCAGAGCAGGTGAGTGGTGCAGCAGAGCAGGTGAGTGGTGGTGCAGCAGAGCAGGTGAGTGGTGCAGCAGAGCAGGTGAGTGGTGCGGCAGAGCAGGTGAGTGGTGCGGCAGAGCAGGTGAGTGGTGCGACAGAGCAGGTGAGTGGTGCGGCAGAGCAGGTGAGTGGTGCAGCAGAGCAGGTGAGTGGTGCGGCAGAGCAGGTGAGTGGTGCGGCAGAGCAGGTGAGTGGTGCGGCAGAGCAGGTGAGTGGTGCGGCAGAGCAGGTGAGTGGTGCGGCAGAGCAGGTGAGTGGTGCGGCAGAGCAGGTGAGTGGTGCGGCAGAGCAGGTGAGTGGTGCGGCAGAGCAGGTGAGTGGTGCAGCAGAGCAGGTGAGTGGTGCAGCAGAGCAGGTGAGTGGTGCGGCAGAGCAGGTGAGTGGTGCGGCAGAGCAGGTGAGTGGTGCGGCAGAGCAGGTGAGTGGTGCGGCAGAGCAGGTGAGTGGTGCGGCAGAGCAGGTGAGTGGTGCGGCAGAGCAGGTGAGTGGTGCGGCAGAGCAGGTGAGTGGTGCAGCAGAGCAGGTGAGTGGTGCGGCAGAGCAGGTGAGTGGTGCGGCAGAGCAGGTGAGTGGTGCGGCAGAGCAGGTGAGTGGTGCAGCAGAGCAGGTGAGTGGTGCAGCAGAGCAGGTGAGTGGTGCGGCAGAGCAGGTGAGTGGTGCGGCAGAGCAGGTGAGTGGTGCGGCAGAGCAGGTGAGTGGTGCGGCAGAGCAGGTGAGTGGTGCGGCAGAGCAGGTGAGTGGTGCGGCAGAGCAGGTGAGTGGTGCAGCAGAGCAGGTGAGTGGTGCGGCAGAGCAGGTGAGTGGTGCGGCAGAGCAGGTGAGTGGTGCGGCAGAGCAGGTGAGTGGTGCGGCAGAGCAGGTGAGTGGTGCGGCAGAGCAGGTGAGTGGTGCGGCAGAGCAGGTGAGTGGTGCGGCAGAGCAGGTGAGTGGTGCGGCAGAGCAGGTGAGTGGTGCAGCAGAGCAGGTGAGTGGTGCAGCAGAGCAGGTGAGTGGTGCGGCAGAGCAGGTGAGTGGTGCGGCAGAGCAGGTGAGTGGTGCGGCAGAGCAGGTGAGTGGTGCGGCAGAGCAGGTGAGTGGTGCGGCAGAGCAGGTGAGTGGTGCGGCAGAGCAGGTGAGTGGTGCGGCAGAGCAGGTGAGTGGTGCAGCAGAGCAGGTGAGTGGTGCGGCAGAGCAGGTGAGTGGTGCGGCAGAGCAGGTGAGTGGTGCGGCAGAGCAGGTGAGTGGTGCGGCAGAGCAGGTGAGTGGTGCGGCAGAGCAGGTGAGTGGTGCGGCAGAGCAGGTGAGTGGTGCGGCAGAGCAGGTGAGTGGTGCAGCAGAGCAGGTGAGTGGTGCGGCAGAGCAGGTGAGTGGTGCGGCAGAGCAGGTGAGTGGTGCGGCAGAGCAGGTGAGTGGTGCGGCAGAGCAGGTGAGTGGTGCGGCAGAGCAGGTGAGTGGTGCGGCAGAGCAGGTGAGTGGTGCGGCAGAGCAGGTGAGTGGTGCGGCAGAGCAGGTGAGTGGTGCGGCAGAGCAGGTGAGTGGTGCGGCAGAGCAGGTGAGTGGTGCGGCAGAGCAGGTGAGTGGTGCAGCAGAGCAGGTGAGTGGTGCGGCAGAGCAGGTGAGTGGTGCAGCAGAGCAGGTGAGTGGTGCGGCAGAGCAGGTGAGTGGTGCGGCAGAGCAGGTGAGTGGTGCAGCAGAGCAGGTGAGTGGTGGTGCAGCAGAGCAGGTGAGTGGTGCAGCAGAGCAGGTGAGTGGTGCGGCAGAGCAGGTGAGTGGTGCGGCAGAGCAGGTGAGTGGTGCGACAGAGCAGGTGAGTGGTGCGGCAGAGCAGGTGAGTGGTGCAGCAGAGCAGGTGAGTGGTGCGGCAGAGCAGGTGAGTGGTGCGGCAGAGCAGGTGAGTGGTGCGGCAGAGCAGGTGAGTGGTGCGGCAGAGCAGGTGAGTGGTGCGGCAGAGCAGGTGAGTGGTGCGACAGAGCAGGTGAGTGGTGCGGCAGAGCAGGTGAGTGGTGCGACAGAGCAGGTGAGTTGTGCGGCAGAGCAGGTGAGTGGTGCAGCAGAGCAGGTGAGTGGTGCGGCAGAGCAGGTGAGTGGTGCAGCAGAGCAGGTGAGTGGTGCGGCAGAGCAGGTGAGTGGTGCGGCAGAGCAGGTGAGTGGTGCGGCAGAGCAGGTGAGTGGTGCACCAGAGCAGGTGAGTGGTGCGGCAGAGCAGGTGAGTGGTGCGCAGAGCAGGTGAGTGGTGCGGCAGAGCAGGTGAGTGGTGCGGCAGAGCAGGTGAGTGGTGCGGCAGAGCAGGTGAGTGGTGCGGCAGAGCAGGTGAGTGGTGCGGCAGAGCAGGTGAGTGGTGCGGCAGAGCAGGTGAGTGGTGCGGCAGAGCAGGTGAGTGGTGCGGCAGAGCAGGTGAGTGGTGCGGCAGAGCAGGTGAGTGGTGCGGCAGAGCAGGTGAGTGGTGCGGCAGAGCAGGTGAGTGGTGCGGCAGAGCAGGTGAGTGGTGCGGCAGAGCAGGTGAGTGGTGCGGCAGAGCAGGTGAGTGGTGCGGCAGAGCAGGTGAGTGGTGCGGCAGAGCAGGTGAGTGGTGCGGCAGAGCAGGTGAGTGGTGCGGCAGAGCAGGTGAGTGGTGCGGCAGAGCAGGTGAGTGGTGCGGCAGAGCAGGTGAGTGGTGCGGCAGAGCAGGTGAGTGGTGCGGCAGAGCAGGTGAGTGGTGCGGCAGAGCAGGTGAGTGGTGCGGCAGAGCAGGTGAGTGGTGCGGCAGAGCAGGTGAGTGGTGCGGCAGAGCAGGTGAGTGGTGCGGCAGAGCAGGTGAGTGGTGCGGCAGAGCAGGTGAGTGGTGCGGCAGAGCAGGTGAGTGGTGCGGCAGAGCAGGTGAGTGGTGCGGCAGAGCAGGTGAGTGGTGCGGCAGAGCAGGTGAGTGGTGCGGCAGAGCAGGTGAGTGGTGCGGCAGAGCAGGTGAGTGGTGCGGCAGAGCAGGTGAGTGGTGCGGCAGAGCAGGTGAGTGGTGCGGCAGAGCAGGTGAGTGGTGCGGCAGAGCAGGTGAGTGGTGCGGCAGAGCAGGTGAGTGGTGCGGCAGAGCAGGTGAGTGGTGCGGCAGAGCAGGTGAGTGGTGCGGCAGAGCAGGTGAGTGGTGCGGCAGAGCAGGTGAGTGGTGCGGCAGAGCAGGTGAGTGGTGCGGCAGAGCAGGTGAGTGGTGCGGCAGAGCAGGTGAGTGGTGCGGCAGAGCAGGTGAGTGGCGCGGCAGAGCAGGTGAGTGGTGCGGCAGAGCAGGTGAGTGGTGCAGCAGAGCAGGTGAGTGGTGCGGCAGAGCAGGTGAGTGGTGCGGCAGAGCAGGTGAGTGGTGCGGCAGAGCAGGTGAGTGGTGCGGCAGAGCAGGTGAGTGGTGCAGCAGAGCAGGTGAGTGGTGCAGCAGAGCAGGTGAGTGGTGCGGCAGAGCAGGTGAGTGGTGCGGCAGAGCAGGGTGACTGGTGCGGCAGAGCAGGTGAGTGGTGCGGCAGAGCAGGAGAGTGGTGCAGCAGAGCAGGTGAGTGGTGCAGCAGAGCAGGTGAGTGGTGCAGCAGAGCAGGTGAGTGGTGCAGCAGAGCAGGTGAGTGGTGCAGCAGAGCAGGTGAGTGGTGCAGCAGAGCAGGTGAGTGGTGCAGCAGAGCAGGTGAGTGGTGCAGCAGAGCAGGTGAGTGGTGCAGCAGAGCAGGTGAGTGGTGCGGCAGAGCAGGTGAGTGGTGCGGCAGAGCAGGTGAGTGGTGCAGCAGAGCAGGTGAGTGGTGGTGCAGCAGAGCAGGTGAGTGGTGCAGCAGAGCAGGTGAGTGGTGCGGCAGAGCAGGTGAGTGGTGCAGCAGAGCAGGTGAGTGGTGCGGCAGAGCAGGTGAGTGGTGCGGCAGAGCAGGTGAGTGGTGCAGCAGAGCAGGTGAGTGGTGGTGCAGCAGAGCAGGTGAGTGGTGCAGCAGAGCAGGTGAGTGGTGCGCAGAGCAGGTGAGTGGTGCGGCAGAGCAGGTGAGTGGTGCGACAGAGCAGGTGAGTGGTGCGGCAGAGCAGGTGAGTGGTGCAGCAGAGCAGGTGAGTGGTGCAGCAGAGCAGGTGAGTGGTGCAGCAGAGCAGGTGAGTGGTGCAGCAGAGCAGGTGAGTGGTGCAGCAGAGCAGGTGAGTGGTGCAGCAGAGCAGGTGAGTGGTGCAGCAGAGCAGGTGAGTGGTGCAGCAGAGCAGGTGAGTGGTGCAGCAGAGCAGGTGAGTGGTGCGGCAGAGCAGGTGAGTGGTGCAGCAGAGCAGGTGAGTGGTGCGGCAGAGCAGGTGAGTGGTGCGGCAGAGCAGGTGAGTGGTGCAGCAGAGCAGGTGAGTGGTGGTGCAGCAGAGCAGGTGAGTGGTGCAGCAGAGCAGGTGAGTGGTGCGGCAGAGCAGGTGAGTGGTGCGGCAGAGCAGGTGAGTGGTGCGACAGAGCAGGTGAGTGGTGCGGCAGAGCAGGTGAGTGGTGCAGCAGAGCAGGTGAGTGGTGCGGCAGAGCAGGTGAGTGGTGCGGCAGAGCAGGTGAGTGGTGCGGCAGAGCAGGTGAGTGGTGCGGCAGAGCAGGTGAGTGGTGCGGCAGAGCAGGTGAGTGGTGCGACAGAGCAGGTGAGTGGTGCGGCAGAGCAGGTGAGTGGTGCGACAGAGCAGGTGAGTGGTGCGGCAGAGCAGGTGAGTGGTGCAGCAGAGCAGGTGAGTGGTGCGGCAGAGCAGGTGAGTGGTGCAGCAGAGCAGGTGAGTGGTGCGGCAGAGCAGGTGAGTGGTGCGGCAGAGCAGGTGAGTGGTGCGGCAGAGCAGGTGAGTGGTGCACCAGAGCAGGTGAGTGGTGCGGCAGAGCAGGTGAGTGGTGCGGCAGAGCAGGTGAGTGGTGCGACAGAGCAGGTGAGTGGTGCGGCAGAGCAGGTGAGTGGTGCGGCAGAGCAGGTGAGTGGTGCGGCAGAGCAGGTGAGTGGTGCGGCAGAGCAGGTGAGTGGTGCGGCAGAGCAGGTGAGTGGTGCGGCAGAGCAGGTGAGTGGTGCGGCAGAGCAGGTGAGTGGTGCGGCAGAGCAGGTGAGTGGTGCGGCAGAGCAGGTGAGTGGTGCGGCAGAGCAGGTGAGTGGTGCGGCAGAGCAGGTGAGTGCGGCAGAGCAGTGAGGGTGCGGCAGAGCAGGTGAGTGGTGCGGCAGAGCAGGTGAGTGGTGCGGCAGAGCAGGTGAGTGGTGCGGCAGAGCAGGTGAGTGGTGCGGCAGAGCAGGTGAGTGGTGCGGCAGAGCAGGTGAGTGGTGCGGCAGAGCAGGTGAGTGGTGCGGCAGAGCAGGTGAGTGGTGCGGCAGAGCAGGTGAGTGGTGCGGCAGAGCAGGTGAGTGGTGCGGCAGAGCAGGTGAGTGGTGCGGCAGAGCAGGTGAGTGGTGCGGCAGAGCAGGTAAGTGGTGCGGCAGAGCAGGTGAGTGGTGCGGCAGAGCAGGTGAGTGGTGCGGCAGAGCAGGTGAGTGGTGCGGCAGAGCAGGTGAGTGGTGCGGCAGAGCAGGTGAGTGGTGCGGCAGAGCAGGTGAGTGGTGCAGCAGAGCAGGTGAGTGGTGCAGCAGAGCAGGTGAGTGGTGCTGCAGAGCAGGTGAGTGGTGCGGCAGAGCAGGTGAGTGGTGCGGCAGAGCAGGTGAGTGGTGCAGCAGAGCAGGTGAGTGGTGCGGCAGAGCAGGTGAGTGGTGCAGCAGAGCAGGTGAGTGGTGCGGCAGAGCAGGTGAGTGGTGCGGCAGAGCAGGTGAGTGGTGCGGCAGAGCAGGTGAGTGGTGCGACAGAGCAGGTGAGTGGTGCGGCAGAGCAGGTGAGTGGTGCGACAGAGCAGGTGAGTGGTGCGGCAGAGCAGGTGAGTGGTGCACCAGAGCAGGTGAGTGGTGCGGCAGAGCAGGTGAGTGGTGCGGCAGAGCAGGTGAGTGGTGCGACAGAGCAGGTGAGTGGTGCGGCAGAGCAGGTGAGTGGTGCGGCAGAGCAGGTGAGTGGTGCGGCAGAGCAGGTGAGTGGTGCGGCAGAGCAGGTGAGTGGTGCGGCAGAGCAGGTGAGTGGTGCGGCAGAGCAGGTGAGTGGTGCGGCAGAGCAGGTGAGTTGTGCGGCAGAGCAGGTGAGTGGTGCGGCAGAGCAGGTGAGTGGTGCGGCAGAGCAGGTGAGTGGTGCGGCAGAGCAGGTGAGTGGTGCGGCAGAGCAGGTGAGTGGTGCGGCAGAGCAGGTAGAGTGGTGCGGCAGAGCAGGTGAGTGGTGCGGCAGAGCAGGTGAGTGGTGCGGCAGAGCAGGTGAGTGGTGCGGCAGAGCAGGTGAGTGGTGCGGCAGAGCAGGTGAGTGGTGCGGCAGAGCAGGTGAGTGGTGCAGCAGAGCAGGTGAGTGGTGCAGCAGAGCAGGTGAGTGGTGCTGCAGAGCAGGTGAGTGGTGCGGCAGAGCAGGTGAGTGGTGCGGCAGAGCAGGTGAGTGGTGCAGCAGAGCAGGTGAGTGGTGCGGCAGAGCAGGTGAGTGGTGCAGCAGAGCAGGTGAGTGGTGCGGCAGAGCAGGTGAGTGGTGCGACAGAGCAGGTGAGTGGTGCGGCAGAGCAGGTGAGTGGTGCAGCAGAGCAGGTGAGTGGTGCAGCAGAGCAGGTGAGTGGTGCAGCAGAGCAGGTGAGTGGTGCAGCAGAGCAGGTGAGTGGTGCAGCAGAGCAGGTGAGTGGTGCAGCAGAGCAGGTGAGTGGTGCAGCAGAGCAGGTGAGTGGTGCAGCAGAGCAGGTGAGTGGTGCAGCAGAGCAGGTGAGTGGTGCGGCAGAGCAGGTGAGTGGTGCAGCAGAGCAGGTGAGTGGTGCGGCAGAGCAGGTGAGTGGTGCGGCAGAGCAGGTGAGTGGTGCAGCAGAGCAGGTGAGTGGTGGTGCAGCAGAGCAGGTGAGTGGTGCAGCAGAGCAGGTGAGTGGTGCGGCAGAGCAGGTGAGTGGTGCGGCAGAGCAGGTGAGTGGTGCGACAGAGCAGGTGAGTGGTGCGGCAGAGCAGGTGAGTGGTGCAGCAGAGCAGGTGAGTGGTGCGGCAGAGCAGGTGAGTGGTGCGGCAGAGCAGGTGAGTGGTGCGGCAGAGCAGGTGAGTGGTGCGGCAGAGCAGGTGAGTGGTGCGGCAGAGCAGGTGAGTGGTGCAGCAGAGCAGGTGAGTGGTGCAGCAGAGCAGGTGAGTGGTGCTGCAGAGCAGGTGAGTGGTGCGGCAGAGCAGGTGAGTGGTGCGGCAGAGCAGGTGAGTGGTGCAGCAGAGCAGGTGAGTGGTGCGGCAGAGC